ATTAATAGCAGCCTTATATTTTTGGTTCGGCAGTGAAACTTAAGATTTCATAAATGACGGGGAATTCTCGATGGGAAATGCGTTTATTAGCGCTGAAAAATGAATGCTCCTTAGAGTAAGCTTAAGGCTTTTTTAAAAGCACTTCCTTGCATATGCAGGAAGACTTGAGGAAATTAAATTAGTTTTAGTTGTAGAATAAGGTGTCTGCAGTACAAAGAAACTTGTTTCATAAAAGCGAAATGAAAGTTTATGTGTAGCTTTACCTACGACATAATTTGCTACAGAAGAACAAGTTTTACATAATGATTGAAAAGTAGTGAACCTATTAACTAGAAAAATTGTAATATTAATTTATTGATTCTTAATAAATGTATGATTTGTAATTAGTCGTATAGTAGCCAATAAAATGTAGGCTGTTTTTGCAAAAAAATACCTATTAAGTAAAATCAAATTTATATAAAGGATTACGAATAACAAAGATAAATCAGCAGTAATATAACTCTAGAATTGTACAAAATCTGCATAAGGAGTTCCATTTAAAATATATTAAAAGTTGGGATACTATATTATTTCAACAGTGGAAGTATATCAAAACGTTTTGCCATTAGTATAAAAAATATGTTGGAAAAAAAATTGGTTCGTAGATGTTAAAAAAAAATAGGCTTTTATTGGGTTTATTGATTTACAGAGTTTCTTTCTGTTAACTTTCTGGAGTACTTCTGTAAATAACTGCTGACATGACCCAAGGGCCACCGTTATTAGAACTGAGTTTTCAAGCGCCGCTGACAACAAATCCTTAATATCTTGCGACCGGCCGGAAGGCAGCGTCCCTTGAGAAATACTTAAGTAGCTTTCAAAGGAGCTCTTGTTCTAACGATTCTCCCAAACGACTTCTGACAATTACTCTAATCTGCAATTGTATTGTATCATAACATGTTATCTTTCGTCCAGGCATAAAGCCTTCGTCACCAGGACGATAAATCCTTGCTCTGTTGATAGAAGCAGTAAGAATTTATAAAACATTGGTAATCGTATACCTTTACTTCACGACGTAATGCACCAGGAGGGAGTGATCTTCATACTCTTGGCCGCGATATTCTGAAATCTCACTTTTATTGTATGGTCATTAAATTCCAATAAATTGTCCTTGTTCATAAAGTTGCGACCTTCGAGGCGAAAGGCGAGTTTAAATTTGTCCCTCGGTCTGGAATATGTTGAAAGTCAGTGTCTTAATTGATATCGAAAATGGTATCAATTTACTTAGTTTCGTTCATGAAGAGATGGATGCAGTCATGACAAGTGGAATTATTGAGATGAGTGAAAAAGTAGGTACTTTTGAAATATGTTTGTGTTGTATGTGGTTCTAAACAAATGTGGGGTAGTAGTTTACATAATTGTTTGCTCTAAACTTTTAGCAAGACTAGGAGGACAGACTACAGATGCTTTAGAATTCCTCCCTCCAATAGGAAATTAAAATAATCGCTATTTAACTGCAGGAATTTCATTCAGTGATCAGATTAATTTTTGCGTTTGATTAATATAAGCCCTATAATTAATTTCATATGTTATAAGACTCGTAACTGAATGATTGTTTTTCACAGTATAAGTAAAAAAAATCATACTCCCCAATATAAAGGAAGTTGTTATATTTTAAAACTACATGCGTTTTTAAAGTTTGAACTGATAATTTAGAATTATTAAATTTCTTGTAGTAATTATGTAAGTTACATAATACAAATAAAGTAACTGAACGTGTTTTATCTTATTCTATATATTTTAAGGGAAAATGACCAGTAACACACGAAACCATCCCATTTGTTTATGCAGGTACATTTTCTGACAAAAGTTTTAGAAACTGTGGTAAACTTGCTGCACCTTTCTGTTGTATATACTGTATTCAGGGTTTATGGATCGTGACCCTTCCTGCCCACAAACGAGATATATAGTTCACAAAGTTTGACATTTCACTTTCCCTTCACACCCACATACTAGTCGATACACTATGCACAATCTCAGAGAACGTATTTTAGAGAATGCACATAATCCGATTTCGAATATAATTTTCAGACTTGTTCATTCAGCGTTTTTTTATATTTTGCACATATTTATCATAATTCTAACAGACAAAAATTTGCATGTAGGAAGCTAATAATTAAAAATCTCTTAGCAATTAAGAAAGAAAGTTTGTATGAAAATTAAAATATCCTTGCATTCACAAAATTCTGTTAATATATTCGTCTTTACAGCAATCAACAGGTTTCGATACAATAAGTTAGTGTAATTTAGCAGTAATGAAGGTACAACGCGAACTTTCAATAACTGCGGTATGAAATAGTACCTCATATGTAAATGCGTTTGACGGAAGCAGGTTTATTGTTGATAAATGTTTATAAACGCGTCGCTAATACAAACAAGCGATGTCATGTCGTTGATAGTATTCAACGACTTTCGCAGTCATAGATTGTACTGTCGTTGACATTTTAAGCCACCAAAAATTTCAGGATCCTCATATTTAGTTGCCATTTGCTTAAAATTTAAACTTGTTAGAATTTCAGAGATAATAAAATCCATTAATTCGTAATAGAGAAGTTACATATGAACTAAGATTTGAAGCCTGCGTTAAGGCTTACTGCAGTTTATAGAAATTATTTTTACTACGTTTGAATCTTCTCAAAAAGGTGAGTCAGCTTTTTCTTTGCTATTAGTTCAGTAAATCAGAGTTTGTTTTGACTATTGTGTCACTTAGTTCTCTTTCCAGTGTTATGGAAGGGATAAGCCTGCTCTTTGTTTTTGTATTCGAAGAGGGGAATTTTAAAAATGATTTTCGTCATCCAAACTAAGCAAACAAACAAACTATTAACACTATAAAAAAGACTCTAGTGTCTTTTTATAGTGTTAATAGTTTGTTTGCTTATTTTATATTCTAATACACTACACGGTATGCAAAGTTTTAAGGTCATCCAAACGTTTTATCAAAACAATTATGGTATGTTCATTCGAGTAAAATAGACATGTCTCTGATAGTAATAACAAATTAATTACCTTATAAGTGCTTTGTTAAGTTTTAAAGGCCAAAAGATGAATATAAACTTAACACAATTTATCTTAAGGTACCATTTCATCTGGTTGTACTTTCAGAAGAAAATTTAATAAAATTGTTTACACTTCGAATTTACACATCTTGACATGGAACTGAAAACCAGTGTTCCCTCAAACATAGCATTATAAAATTCTCACACACACATACATACATCTTCCGACAGAAGACAATAGATAAAAGGGATTAATATTTAATACCGCCAAATCCTTCCAATTGTGTTGTCATTGATATGCAGTTTTACATCTTAAGAAATTTTATTGTCACTCGTGTGACTTCGGTTTAGGGCTTAAGTGGCATTTATTCTACCTAAAATTAATGTTTTTATTAATAAGGATATGTTTATAAATTTATGTGTAATCACGGAACTCGAAATGGGATCTCGTTCTGAAAGTAGAATTGATATCTATTCCACTGACCTGGATCTGCAGATTACGCTGCTGTAAGAAATGAACCTTTTTACTTAATCTCGTGCAAATACACTTTTATTTTCCTCAGGAGCTGAAATATATCCCAGTCGGTCTAGATACTCCGAAAATGAATACGGAAAGCGTGACGTAAACCATCCTGAAAGTAACTTTAATGCACTATTCTTATCCAATAATGAGGACATGATTATCATGTAAGAGAATGGGCCTTATGCAGATCCAATTGCATTTCCTACGTGTTACCGATAAAGTATCTTCGTACAGCGTGTAAATTATATTAGTCATGAATAAGAAGTTAAAAACTGCTTTCAAACGTTCACAAATCAACAGCAAATGAACCTTTAATATGTAACAATTAAATTTACCCGATAACGGAAACACAGCCCACTTCTTGAAGGTTAAATATTATTAAAACTTTAATTGACAGAAAGGAAAATGCCGAAGAATACATATCATTCTAACGGCCGTGTAAATTCTTATAGTAACGAGTCTCTAAATAAGAAATTAATGTCCCATATGGAAGGCTAAACTGATATACAGAGTGATTCAAAAGGTTAGGAGTCAACTGAAGGAGCGTATAGAGAGACTTGGAGAGAACAACTTTCGAATAGGAATCCATGTCCTCCGAAGTTATTCTGAGTCAGTCGAGGCCATTGAAGGTAGGGAAGTCTGATAACATACCGCTGAAATAATCGTACTTTGCTATCCTCCTACTAGCTTAATTTTGAATCACACGTATCCCGTCAGATTCTACAGAAGCCCATGGGATGTTTACATTGTGTTTGTGAGTTGATAGTGACTGGTGTAACCCTACCTTCAATGGCCTCGACTGACTCAGGATAACTTCGGAGGACATGGATTACTATTCGAAAGTTGTTCTCTCTGAGTCCCTCTATACACTCCTTCAGTTTGGCCGTAACCTTTTGATTCATCCTGTATACACACAGATAATCGTATTTAGAGACTGGCAAATGTACGTAGGATATAGAATGAGATTATTTTCGTTTGGCTATGGAGCGCCTGTTATTGCAGACGACACCTGGATGCAGTTGACGTAAAAACGACACATCGATGAGGCTCTTCTCTTTCGGAATGTGATATCCAGGAGCAAATTCAAAGGTAACCCGACTACTGAATATTATCGTTCCGTCGGTGCTATCGTCACTTCAGTTGTAAAGGAGTTTTTATGAAACTCGGTCGGAAGCAAAAGATTAAAATTTCTTATTCGTATAGAATCACATTTCGTAATGTCAAAATAAAGCAAAGCATTACATTGGAAGGACTTTTGGCTGTGAAATCATGTGTCGTCTTATACCCTATTATTGTAGACAACGCGTCTCATTATTTTTCGGTTACATATCTTGAAAGACATTCGAAAATAATTTTGATTATATTTGAAACTATATTTCTTAACGGGATATCCAAACAAAATTAATTAATTTTTGTTATTAAGATTATCTAAATAAAGAATTGAATTAAATGAACTAATTTATTCATTGTCTGGAAATACACGATGCACGATACATTTGTAAATAATTTAGAGTAATACATTTGTTTCATCACACAATCTTATTAATTAATTCCTCTTCTGCGGGTTCCATATTCTTCTTAGTGACGTATTTCCTCATAAGTGGCGTGAAGAGTACTGGATCCATTTGTTCACGATCTGGTGCTTCTGTCAGTAGGCTCACGACAGTACCAACAACAAACACGATGATCATCCCCATCATAGTGTAATACAGAAAGGAGACACGGTATAGAACGAAAACTTCTTCATCTGAATTATTATTCCTGCAAAGTACACACACGTTTCAACAAATGTATATTCCTCTATTATTCGTTAACGTTTATTGTCACCACAGTCTTTATATCTGCTCCGAGAATTTGACACCTGACCAGAAATATCTAGTTCTGACGTAAAGAAAATTCATGAAGATATCTGTCTTCTGAGTTGTTGCGCTGTGTAGTTTAAAGCTTCGGACTTCCTGCATTCCTTGTAAGTCTCAAGATTACAGTCGTGAACTGTATGACCTCTGAAACGTGGGTAAACATCTACCAGACTACACAGCGCAACAACTCAGAAGACAGAAATCTTCATACTCACCGCTGTGAAAACCTCAAATCCTACAAAATGTATGAAGCTTTCTTTCGTCACACATTAAAAGTTACACAGTCTATATGAAATGTGAGGATTTTGTGGGAAGGAAAATTTCGATTTTCGTCTTCTGTGTTGTAACTCCATGTGGACTTGTAGTCATATACGAAGGTTTCGGGGAACATACCGCTTCCATTTACTAAAGATTGATGTATCTGAGTACTAGTCCATGGAACATACCGCTTCCATTTACTAAAGAGTGATGTATCTGAGTACAAGTCCACACGACATTATAACGAAGAAGTCCAACATCGACACAATGATTAGACAGAAAGAAAGATAATTTCTAAAATGTGTAAAGCAATAATTGGACTATTATCTTTAGGGATCTCAAACTAGGACTGTTTCTTATAAACTACTACTAAAAAGACTGAGGGTAATTTGTATACAAAATAGCTAAAGTAGATTATTTTTTTAAATTAAGAACAATAACTAGCGAATATAGTTGATTAACATGAACTTCATGTCTTTTCCTTTAAGTAAGTTAAAGTTAATTGAGGATATTAATGTTGATTGTTGTGCCATGTATGAAGGATTAAGGTCCATACATATGTGTGATTAGTTGATATGCAACTTAATCAGTTTGGAGCTTAGTTTATGGATGTGAAGTTAACATCAAGTGGATGTTAGGAAATTAGGATTTAAAATTGGTTCAAATGGCTAAGGAAGACTTCAGGCTAAGTCGTGTTATGACAAAACATCGGCATTCTAAGAATTTATTCAAAAACAGTGTAAGTAGCTTCCCCTAAGGGAAGATCCTATAGATAGCGTGGCATTGGCATTTACGAGTTAACCTGAAGTCTCATATCTTTTCTCGTGTTTTTTTTCTTCTTTTAGAGGATCATGTTTCAGATAGCTGTGTGATGATTTGCTTACAATTGCGATACAGGCAACGTTACGTTGAAGCTGCAACCTTCTACTGAGACTGGCAATACTGGTTGCTTGATCCTGCCTTCGGCCAGCTCTCTCTGTGTTCCAAAGACTATCCATCCCATGAGAAGCATGCTACATATACTTCCGGCCAAAGCACCCTGTAAACAATTGATTTCTTTTAGGTTTAGTAGATATTTCGATAGAGGCTTCAAGAAACACGTGTAAAATGTGAACGTACTTTAGAATTTCCTCTTGGGTAGAACATGCCAAATGAGAAGAGACCCACCATGGCCCCATTTGTAACACCTGCTGTGCTCAGTGTTAGCTGTAACAATAAATCCTGACACTTCAGATTATATAGCTTTCAAAATGCAACATAATCTTATAAAGTAGAGCACACATACTTAATAGACTTCTTACAGATACGTTTCTTATAGATGTTATTACCGATAGAATTGCAAGTACATGTTTAAACGATGTTTAAGGGCCAGTCTAAAATTCAGCAGAAGATTTAAACATTAAGATGTTAACAAATCCTTTGAGACTGTGGCAGAATTCAAATAACAGGAAATAGCAGGAAGAATTAAAAACTACGTTTCGCAAATGTTCTAGGTTAAGAGCAGGTTAATTTCGATTTAGTTCAGAATATTTTTATTTTCCTGGCTTCCGCATAAAATCCTTAGTATTAAGGTGTACAATACTGTATCTGTGTATGGCTTTGAGCCTTATTACTCCTTTCTAAGGAGAAAATTATAAACTGAGGGCATTTCTGGGTACTGCGAAGAATATTTGACAAGGTAAAACTAAGTTAAAGCAGAATAGAGGAAAACTGCATATTGAAGAACTTAATTGTTTTACTTTTCACTAAATGTTGTTATGATTGTGTAATATGGGAAGTAAGGCGGACGGGTCGTTTATCACATAGATATCGCTAAAATACCATACACACTTTAGTTGAAACAGATGAAGAAAGAAGACCAGTTTAGGAACTATGGCATAAATGGGGAAAATATGAAAACTGATTTTAAAAAGATAGGATATGAGGTTGTTAACTGGATTTAATTGGCTCGGAATATCATTCACTGACAGACGTTTGTGAGCATAATCATGATTTTTCGACTAACAGAAAAGGCTAGCGATTTATTTGAAGGCTTAAAAAATATTACCACAAGGAACACTATATTATTGGGGTGGTTTCTTAAGCAAAGTACCAGATTACATTGCAAAGAACAATTACGATTATGAATCTTAGTTGATCTGGTCTCGCATTCATTGCGTAGTTGTATCTGAGCGACATCGAAATCTTTTGTATTTACCCTAAAAATTCAGATCACAATTATCTACGTTACTGCCTGGGTTAAGGAACGTCTAATTCGTACGCCATCAAGGTGTATGTGTATTTCTTTTACTGCGATTTTATTAAAGAATAAATAATCTCCTACACTGAGTAGTGCTAACTTTACCCCAATATCAAACATTCGTATGATAGCAAAATTAGTAGGCACAAGGTGTCAAAAATTTTTGTATACATTTGGAATTTATTTTAGACTACCTGTATACCTGTAAACCTTCACGCATACTTAGTGCAATACAGATTCGAATACAGTTTAATATTCATGTTTCATGCTTTAAATTAATTTAAATGTTATTTGTGGTTTGTTCTTTTTATTTTTTCTTTAAGGTTTTACAAGACCTCTTCATACTTTCCCCATGATGTCCTGATCATAACTCGGAACTTTGAGTTATAAATCAATTCTGAAGTTGTAAGAAGGGTCCTTGGCACAATTCAATATTCTAATTGGTAGAACTGCGTTATGGATAATGTTTATTTTATCAATATGCATCAAATTTCAATGTATAATAGACTTCAAAGAGTAATATTTATACTGGGCTCTAGCAGTATTTCAGAAAATACAGTTAGGCTGCTTCATGTTAACGTATCATATAATTAACACCCGCTTGTGGCATTTTAGTTTCCATTTCTGCTTCATCTCAGTCGTATTTTCTGTAACAAAATATCATGAAAGTAAAAAACAATTAACCTCCAGTCATAGGCCTTTATTGTTAGAATGTCTGGGGGTGCTGTACTCTGTTCTTTGAACAAGTTTGTTTCGTCTGATTACACGTTTGACATACATTTGACATAATACACATGTTATGTGTATACACATCGTGCGCAGGAAAGTTTGTTCGTCTCTACCCTTTTGCCCTTTGGTTTTAGAACGAGATAGGGTTCAATTATTAGTGAATATACAGATTTCACAGTGTGTTCTGAATTCGTTGATCACATGTATTATTGAAACCTACAGAAATGCAGTCCTTTGACGTAATGATGGTTTTGATTAATTAATAAAAGCCCTACACAGAGTGCAAACAGCTGCCTACGATGGTTTTGATTAATTAATAAAAGCCCGACACAGAGGGCAAACAGCTGCCACCGTGTATATGGGCCTATATTATACTGTATCGACTACTTGTATAAAACTCAATAAAATCTTATCGGGCAATCAGCTGCAACAGATGGTTAAGCAATATAAAACTCAATAAAATCTTATCGGGCGATCAGATGGTTAAGCAAAAAAACCCGACGTTTCAGGGACCATCTCTGTCCCCATCATCAGGGTTCTGATGTGGCCGGGTTGTGTAGTTATCTCCATATGTATACCTGTCCGACCAGTGATCATGGCCGGACCCTAGCCAATCACAACTGATGGGCGGAGTCAGAAACAGTGGCAGCAATATTTCGCAGTGTCTGCGGTAGTTGTTTGCAGTTTTGATTTCTCTCTTTTACGCAAATACACGTGTATTGTGCACAAAATCCTGTTCTTTTAAGTTTTTCTTACCTGTAACACAGAGCCAAGTTTGTCGACGACAAATACTATGAGAACACATAGAACACCAATAACGACGACTACAAATTTTATGATGTTGTTGGCTGTCTTGTCATTAATTTCACTCCTTAAACAAGGTCGGATGAGGTCTTCGAATACAACTGCACCCATCGCATTGAGGCTGCTGGACATTGTGCTGTAGGACAGAACAACAAATGAGTCCTCTTTTATAAACGTATGTGGCAATGACTTCTCCCTTATACCAATACTATGTATGAGGCTGCCCATTGGCTTATAGATGAATTAGCGTACTAGAGTTACAGGAGTTTGGATCTGTTTTGGTCATCGGGTTATCGGTTGCCATTACATGAGTTCAAATAAACCTTAGACAACACGCGTTTAGAGACATGTAAGATATGAGGTTCTGGCGTTGGGTGTTGTGGGAACAGAAGCTTCATGTGAGGCGGACATGACTCCTAAAAGGTTAAACTAGTTTAATTATTTAGTCTCCAAAAGCAAGGTACTGATGTAGAACAACGTGAGGTTATGGTATATTCTATTATTTACGAATAAAGTCAGGGTAACATTTAGATTTTGCAACAAATATTCGGTAACTCTCATTTGTTACTGTTCTAAAAATATCCAAGCTACACTACAAAACAATTAATGTAATAAAACTAATAATTTTTGATGAAGCAACACTTTAGGGTTTTCACATTAAGTTTCAGAAATGTGAATATTGGAATTGTCATGTGACAGTTCTAGAACCGGTAAATGGATTAAAAAGGGTATTAGTACATTCAATAATTAAAAATCTTCCGGAAATAACAGAACGAACGCAGAAAAACTGCTAATTTATGCTTTCGTTTCTCAGCTGATTTCGGTTATATTAATTGTGGTTTTACAATGGTTATCATTAATGACCTCATTTGTCGTACCCACGCCATCGTCAATATGTGCCAGCAGTTAATATTCATTCCTAACGAAGAATAAAGAACTTTTGATTCGTCACATACGAGTTAAGAGGAGCATACAAGTGCGTGAGTAATTAATTTCTTTAGTGTAAAATTTAATACAATTACTTTCTAGAACGATGATGCAATTAAGATATAAGCTAAAAAAATAAGTTAATACAATTACTTTCTAGAACACCTTCTAATTTTATTAGACTTAGGCTATTGATTGTAGACACGGTACTCCCCTTGCGCTTTGCACAAAGCAGTATTCCTTTGAAGCAAAGTGGTATCTGTAGTAAACCTAAGCCTTCATATTAACTAACTCTGAATCTAGCCCTGAGTGTATTTAGATTTCATATGGTTTCAGTTTAAACAGCGATTGTTCCTTTAAACAGCATCAACAGATATTTATATTCTTGTAATAGACACTTTGTGCTAACTTAGTGGTAGGGAATGGATATTTATATTTTATTAATTTTTACATTCCGGCTTCAAGGGGTTAAATAAAACGTATCATCATGTAACACTTATCACATACCTTAAAGACGCACTGAATATGCCAGCTATAAAGAGTCCTGGTAAGCCTGGTATCGAGGTAGCAATGTCCATCACGTAGTATGGCAGCAGTTGGTCTGGCCTGGAGACAGCCTGTTTCCATGGAAAAGGTAAGTTTTGAGGTTAGGTACCAATTTGATGGAACCATTAAGGTCCTATGAAACGTAAATATCTACCAGACTACAGGGTACAGTCCCAGAAGACAGCCATCTATATCATAGTTCAATGGATTTTGTTTTGTATGAAGGCTTTATTACAACCTCTTACACATTGTATTGAATGGAATAACAAATGCTGTATATGTAAACATGATTTAAGATCATTGGTATCGGAAATATATGAGAAAGTCATAGCTAATATTCACCATATGGACATAGAGAAAACTTACAGAAACTGTGTGTGTTTTAGTTTGATACAATAAATTCGTACGGAAACTTAGTTCAACTGAAATATTGAACCAAAATATAGATCTAAATTTAATTTTATATAGCACATTTTGCAGCTTTAAAACACTTAAAAATAATTAGTTTCAAGCAATAATGATTTGCCATTTATTTTAAACGTTCTATTATGAAATTTCAAGAACTAGGACAGAGTGGGATTAAATGTAACACGGCTGACATTGGTGTGTGGTAATGATGATACTCATTTAATTAGGCAGAAATTATTAATAAGGAAAGTAAAGCAGAAACTTTATTACCAGGTAAGTTATTTATAAAGAAATAAATATACAGGAATCTAATCAGTTTCTGTGTTTATGCCCCTACAGAATGAAAATTAAAACTAATAATTTAACATAGGGAGACAGAAGTAAAGTGCTTTGTAAAAGTGGCAAAATTTAGGTAGGATTTACAGGCTGTGAAAATTATTGCTCTACTGAGTTCATAATCATCTGTAAGTATATATAAATGTTACAGAACAGAAATGAGGAAATGCACAGTGGACTAACGTAAATTTATCATTTTAAAGGATAAAGTAGTCTGTCACAGTTTATTTAAAATACTATTGAAAGCAATATAAATCGAAATACAGGTATTCGACGTTGTTAAGGAACATTATAACAAAGTTACTTAAAAGTAACACCAGTCAGATTTCGTTCATCAATAGTGATGAAACTGAACATTGTATCGTAATGGTTAGCACTCCTACTACGTATTCGGGAGGTTCAATAGCCTTGATGTACGATTAGCCTACGTACAAATGTATCATTATTCAAAGTTAATCAAACTGCAGATATTTAGATGGCTTTTCTTTTAACATGGGAATGATGTGTCATATAAAATGTTTGGAACTGGAGTTAACATATCATAACGGAATGTAAATGGAATAATTTCTTATTCATTTAAATTTACATACGATGAACCTTATTTAAGAAAGTTCTTATCGTTTGGTTTGACTTCTTTTTATTAAGTGGCGTTATATCTGACCGGTGTAAACGAAAATTAAGCACATCTGTCAGTATGTAGCGTAGACTAACCAGCATCAAATTTCACTGACATTCGTTTAACACTTTAGAAATCAAAAGTGTGGATGTTCAATTACCACCTCCCCACTTTGTATTAATTGTTTACACTTACACAGTGATTTCTTAGAACTGGAACCTACATTGAGGAGCCATGATACGTGATTTTAAAACACGTAGACCAGCGATTTTATAAGCTTATTACAATAAGTTACCTTAGACGTAATAGGATCGCAGTCATAATATTTGGCGTATATCAGAAGACCAGTAAAACAACTGATGGATGTTACGGTGATTAACTCGATGACAAATACGATTAGTGATCTGTAATAAACATAAAAATGTGTTTTGTTAGTGAAATAGTTTAGGGTTTATAACAGACGTTATGGTAGCAATCACTAATTAGCTCATATTTGTTCAGACAAAGGACAGTCTTGTAATGTGGATTCGTGCAATTAAAAATGGAAATTCGTATTCTACAATATCTGCATTATCTTTAATTAATTCAATACAAGAAATGACTTACGTTTGTACCTTTCCATACGTAGGCAGTGATAGTAATTTTTGAACCATTGCTTGATTCATTGAAACTGCCGCGATCCAGTTGAATGTGTTACCAACCACAACAATCCAGAACGATAATCTTTCAAAAGGAGACGCGCTCATCCTGAAATTAATACTACATGATTTACATTTGTTTATTCCCTAAAGTCTTAATGTTATTCTTTCAAAGATGGGTTATTTTAGTTTCATGGGCCACGTATTAGGTCCATACGTTTGTCATGACAGATTTATATCTTGAGTGATGGTAAAGGTCTGGAGCATTTTAGCTCAATACTAATTTTCCAAATCACAGAGCTTTGCGCGACTAATCCATAGCAATGATTACTTGGTAGCAGTGTTGTGCCCAAACAAATTTATGATTATTCTATATCCTTTTTATGAATATTAGCTGATATGTAGGGTTGTGCTTAAATTCAATATTTTAAGACGCAGATATAAATTAAAAAGGGTGGTAGAATATGCAGTTACACTTGGGCGGAATCTGAAGGATTTTGTCATTGGTGAGTTGTAATAGGTAAATATATTCTTTTGGACTGTGTCCATCGTATTAAATTATAAAATACTGCTTCCGCCTTTATTTAAAACAAAAGTTCAGGTTGGACATTCTCTGAGCCAGGGAGTGCAACTGACATATATATTCTTTTGGACTGTGTCCATCGTCTTAAATTATAAAATACTGCTTCCGTCTTTATTTAAAACAAAAGTTCAGGTCGGACGTTCTCTGAGCCAGGGGGTGCAACTGACAGGCTTACTGTCCTTGTCTGCGTTTTATTTAGCTGAAGACATAAGCAGAATACAACTTCTAAAACATTTGTTTATTGATTCATAATTTAAGATGATGGACAAAGCCCTAAGGTACAATTTTACATGTAATTGCTTTTACACGTGTAATATAATAGTGAAATATCAACTAAAGATATTATAATCGAAAGAAACTCAACACCTACTGCAATTCTTTTGAATAACTGAATATAACAATATTGTTTTTGGAGTTTTCGTCTAGTGTATAATTTTAATTGTAATCTATTTTATTTTTTCATTGAATCGTATGAGACAAACTTGTAAACTTAATGACGTCTGAAAACAACCGTTTCGAACACAGTCGTCTTCAAAAGAAGAAGAATTAATGTAGCACAAACTAAAAAGTGAAGATTTCTGTCTTCAGGGTTGTTGCGCTGTGTAGTATGGTAGATGTTTACCAACTTTTCAGAGGTCATACTGCCTCCGTCATCAGGACGATGAGTATGAAGATTTCTGTCTTTTGGGTTGTTGCGCTGTGTAGACTGGTCGATGTTAACCAACGTTTCAGAGGTCATATTGCCTCCGTCATCAGGGCGATGAATGTGCCAATTGGTATTGTTACTTACTCAAAGAAGCGTATTCGTCCAGCATCTCTGCTCCTCTCCCACACCGTCCCCACGCCACCGACCTGAATCACGCCCAAAATGATGACCACAACACTCGCCACCACCATCACCACCCCCTGCAGAACGTCTGTCCACACGACAGCTTTTATTCCACCCTGGTGACAAAAACAGTGAACTTTTAAATTAAGCAAGGATTTGAAAATTAAATCGTTGATGTGGACAGTAGGTTCCTAGTTAATGTTATCGACTGATCAAATAGCCTATCTGAAGAAGTAATAACTTTTGTTAATGTTATTTGTAATAAATGGCTCTTAGAATGTTCTGTGATGTAACTTATAATAAAGTTTAGACCAGAGTATCAAGTAAAAGTACCCCAAACTCGCACAAATTCGAGTTACCGATGTTCAGTATTATCTGAAGGCTAAAAAAATATCACAGATATTTACTTACCAGGGTAGTGTAGACGATACAAAGAATGGAGGTGATTGGGGTGATGATGTGTACGTTCATGCCGCTAACTGAAACAGAATAGTGTTTAGCTATAGGAGGAACATTTTAATTGATCCACATTAGAAACATATTTGTTGACGACTTGGCAACAATTCCTTGATAAACTACTGCATGTATAACTAAACTGACTTGTAGTTGTGGGTTATGCTTTAATAATAAAAATTTCTCGTCTCAAATATATATTCTAGAGCAGTGGTGTTCAACGTGGGGGTACGAGAAGACATCTTAGGGGGTACGTGAAATTTAAAAAATATATATATTATTTTATGATAAATACTGAATAATCAGTAATGTAATTTATTTAATTTATTTTAGATGTAGATTATATGCTATGTATAACTTGAATTATACACTAACAACTTTGTTTGTAGAAAGTTGAAGAGAAATTATATCTGAGGGTACGCGAACAAAAAAGGTTAAATACCACTGTTCTAGAGGTATAAGGCTAGTATTCTGATATATGCTAAAATTTAGTCTGTTAAAAAATATTAGTTCATCGGAGCGCTAATAGGCAGTCAACATTTCTCCGCAAATTCAAGGACACTTTTTAATTCAAATGCTTTCCATATTTTACGTATATGCATAGTAGAAGCAAGAATCGCGAAGGACATAGGTCTTTTATGAGATCACTGTCCATAATATATTTTAATTTTTTTTTCTAACTTGAAAAATCTTAGCACTGTGAGGCGGTGAATAAAATGCATTGTGCTTGTTGCAATGTAGAGTGTCTGTAGCACACTGTAGCAGAAACACATGTGCGTGCAGAAGTTGTTACCATAATTGAACGGTTTTCGCTACAGGCAACAAGAAAATTTTATCGAACTACAGAACCATTTAATATCGATACTGTAGTGCGCGTCTAATCAAATATAAATTCCATAATTGTTGCTAACAACAAGTCTTAATAGGAAAGTAGTGGGTTACAAAATGTTGCATATTGCCTCTGTTTTGCTTTAATTATTTTAAATAAATAAGCTCTATTCCGCTTCTCCAGGTGACAAGATTTCGAACGTGAAATGCCAGGAGTCAGATTACCTGAAAAAAGTATAAAAATAATTTGCTTGAGTTCCATAAATTAAATTTTCACCAAATTTTATTCGGGTGAGTTGTAACAAGAGAGATTAATACAAAGTTATGATCGGAAATCTTGAGAAAGGATACCATTTGTTATACGTGGGCAGGTTGGACCGTGATATTGAAATTGATGTTGAGACAGTTTCTGGATGTGGACTGAATTCATCTTTCGTAGTGGCGAGCTGTTGTGAACACGGTATTGAACATTGGGTTTTCATAAAATGTGAGTTTTGACGTCTCAAGAAGGACTCTACTCCAAAGATTATTAAGCAGGTATAACACGACCGACTCTGTTCCAGACAACGAAAGAAATTATTCGACCATTGCTCATTTGACACACTTTAATTTTTTCCGAATTATACATAATGTGGAGGGCATTGTTCCAGATGGGTGTGTCAACATGGCTGATTTACGGGATACTAAACTCTTCGACATAGATGGCTTCAAAAATATGCATTGTCAATGTTCATACGCTCAGATGTAACTGTGTTTATCTCTGTTTATAGCAGCATAAACATTGCACCCTTCTAGAATTACATAAATTCCACAATTTTACGTTAGGTCCCATATATCCAATTATGCAGTATGCTAATACTACCTTCTGGTATGATATCCTCGATAAATACGCTTTCATTTCAATAATCTAATAACAGAAGCAACATTTTTCAAGCTGAGTACTTTTAGTAGTTAAAGCTAACAGTGTTTATATTTACCTTGACTAAAGGCCAAAGACGGTACGTACACAACAATGGGGATGTATAGGAGTAATCCAATTGTACTCAACACGGACGCCATAATTCGAACACTTCGGTTAAATCGCAGTTGCAGATACTGAAATAACAGTATCTTAAGTTAATTCCAAGACAGGCACTCTGTAAATTTCGCGGAATTAATTAAAAATTGAATCAATTACAATACTTGTGAATCAACACGAATAAAATAAAATAGTTAAACAGACACGAAATGGAGACAGGGAAGAAAAGAGTTAGGTGACGTGTGTTTCTAATAAGAGGTGTGATTATATATATCGTCCCTGGAGACATATTTAAGGAAGAAACAGTAAAAATTTCCTCGGATATTTTCCATCGTCTAGTAAAATAATAAAGTAGAAAAAGACGTTTCGGAGATGGGGCCTTAAAAAGACAACACACTCACAAAACAAATTATAAAACAAATATAAAATAGAGAGGGGTTAGTTCTATCTATTGGGCCCAACAGAGTAGGTACCTGAAGACGGAGATAGAGCCCCATCTCCGAAACGTCATTTTCTACTTTATTATTTTAGTAGACGATGGAAAATATCCAAGGAAATTTTTATTCAAATAACTCACCATCGTCACGAACTTTTAGATTTGAAAAAAACAGTAGTTCATAATAAGATGTTGTCTTAAAATATTTTGAGTGTCTATTCTGTTACTCATTTTAATCGCTTAATGGTGCTGTTAAACATACTATGTGACCTCCCAATTTAGACATTTATTGGCTTTATTAATAGTAACCGTTTGTACGTTGGTGAACAGTTTTCTACAACCTTAACATCTATCTGTCTACCGTGAGGTTGTGATGTAACTAATCCATTTGCAACTAACATAATGCCGTTTTATTAATTACTTATTGCGGTTCGTTTAAATTACTCGTGCTTCGTCTTGTTTGTCTCCGTGAATGTGAACAGCTTCAAGAGTACGAGCACAAAGACGCCTACTCTAGATGCGTCTTTACTCTAACGGAATTACCCCATGTTTGAAACCTGTTAATACATGCAGACCTACACCAATGACAACGTATAAGTACAGTGCTTATAGTCTAAGATATTCACGACAAGAATTTGAGGGACCAAGTGCCTTACACAGACTAAGAATTTTTTTAATATTTGTTGACCGTGCGAATGTTACTTAGTGACTGTTTCTAAACTCGTCTCTGCGTAGATGTGTATGACTTGGTGAAAAATGTCCATGATTTCTGGAAATGTAACTATATTTTTAACAATAATAGGCCACCCAGTTGCACCGGATATTGGTCAGAAAGCCTGACCAATAAAAGAGACCGCTGGGGAGACCTAGACGTAGATGGGTGGATAATACGAGTATCAAGCGGAGTCCATGGGAGATAGGAGTTGAAGGCAATAGATTTTGCTGGCCCAGGACAAGGACCGGTAGGTTTGGTTAATTCAGTGATGAACCTTCGGGTTCGGTAAGCCATCTAGTTACTGTAACTCTTTAGAAAGGTACCAAGTTTAAATCTCGATAATAATACCTGCTGCGCTGAAAGGCGTTTTGTGGTCTCCTTTTGTAATTTTATGCAAAATTCCGGCAATATCATAAAATATTTCACAATAAATTACTTTTCGATCCTTATATCTCACCATTCATAACCATCTTCCCATATATTCCGACAATATAATAGTTTAAACTGAGTCGCTAAGTAACTTACGATCCAACTTATAAATCGGTAGAACATACTTCGTAGGTAGATGTGAGCTGCAATTCGTAGAATACTGGCAGGTAGAAGTAATTTGTGGCTAAGGCTACAAATACTATGGCAACGCAAACTAGCCAATAGAGTGTTCCATAGAGGTAGATTTCTGTTGGAGCTCCCATGAGCATGATCCCAGATATGAAGCTAGAAAAATAAAAATGAATTATTACTGGTTACTTATCCGACGTAATTTGAACTACCAATCATGAACATGTCAGGCATGTCTATCAGCACAGCTGATTTACAATGAATGGCACACTGTCATGTACCCCTTATTGGTTTTATACAGCTACCAGGTTTACACTCGTCCCATGTATTTCTGCATATCTATTAACAATAAGTCACTGGTACATTTATATCACTCATTTCGCTGTGTTTTAAACGTAAAAATAAAACGTATTTTGCAGGTTGTTAATCAGTTTTGATTTAATATTTTATATTTAGTTTTAAACTCAGGCGAATGCGATAAGAATATAAAGCTCTGTGTCGTGTCAGGATTAAGAGCTTGTCGAATTTCAACCCCGCACTAAAATTTAATGGTGTACTGGTTAGAAAAATGGCAGACTTTGCCATTTGCAGGTATTATTGATAATGAAAATGCAAGCTTACAGTGTAGACTGCAATTTTCAGACAAGCTAATAATAAGTTATATGCCTATCTCACGTTAAGAGGCGATAAAATGTAGGCTGTAGTGAATAAACTCCGATGTTGTTAAGGTAAACAATGAATATTACGGATCTTTGTCAGTAGATTTAAATAAAATATCTATTGTTTTATGTTTTTTAAACACAGAGTTTATTAAGGGAGCAAGTTTATACTCTACTCATATGCCTACTTGTATTTTAGGCGATGCACGTAAATATTACGTTCCATATTTCTTTTGGCCATATTTACAAAATGTATATTGAATGTACAAACGTTTATTGCTGTATAACATTCATGAGTAAAGTGATTTTTCGAATACAGAACAGAAACGATTGCCGATTCATTATTTTCGCACGTGTTTTGACAAATTTCACTGCACTAACCTGGCCACAAGGGACACGGCTACCGGAATTGTACTCATCGTCTTCCCTCCATGCAGGTACTCCTTTGGCGTATCTTCCTTCTTGCCCCAGAAGCCGAAGTACACTCCAATCATTGTAGAAAACATTAGCATTAATACGAACAGTATGAAGTCGAGCCAATTAAAGAGTTTCGTGTTTACTAATTCCGCATCATATAGAGTGGAGTTCGTGGCCATTCTGAAATGGAAACAACAGTTTAACAAAGAGCATTATTTGTTTCGTCATCTAATAATTACATTTAATATTAAAACAAATTCTTTTAACTCTTCTCACAAAAATATTTAATGACTAAAACTTTTCGGCCGTAGTTATACAACAAAATATTTAAAGATTTTTCATTGTAACCACAAGCGTATAGATATTCAGAAAATACATAGGCCCTATACCATGGTAGTCTTTTTATACACGTGGACGAATATACTTCTTAATACCTTGAACTGTGTTAATTATAAATCTGAGAGTCTGGCGCTCGCCTGAAAGACAGATGAATCATTGTAACCACAAGCGTATAGATATTTAGAAAATACATAGGCCCTATACAATGGTATACTTCTTAATACCTTGAACTGCGTTAATTATAAATCCGAGAGTCTGGCGCGCGCCTGAAAGCCAGATGACTACTAAAATAGGTAGAAAGCAGACTGTTTTGAAGATAAGGAATTCTTTTATTGTGCAAGAACAAGCGAATCAGGTACGTAGGTCTGTAAATCATATTTGTCATCATCATCATCATGAACTACTACAAGGATTGCTGTTGATCTGTTCCGGGACAATTGCTCAAGGCAACTTTTCTTGAAGAGTGCATTTTTGGGTAGTGAGTGACAAGCCCACTGTCTCATATTTGTAAGGTCCGGAATACATTTATTTGTTTTTACAATTTTTAGTGCCTAATATACTATTTAATTCGATTTTATTTTTAAAATTCTTGTTTTAAATTACATTATTACCACATGCAACCTTATAACCATTCATGCGAAACTATCGATATTAGAAAAATGGAATATGTAATTGTGAACACAGATCGTGTGTTATGCCTTTGTATTTGAGCGACTTGAGGAAATATTTAAAATATTACGTATGACAATATTTTAAGCTAATGATTTCTATAGTAGCGTAGCTCAGAACTCATCTGTTGTGGTAGTTACTGTGAGGAAAAAACCGTAATTAGATATGTAACAGCCTAACGTGTAAACTAAAGCAGAAAATTTGTCATTTTTGTTGTGCTTTTGAATAGTTAATGGCAGTAAATGATTACTGCGGCATCTAAAATATTCACTGGACGTAAATTTTCCATTTTAGAGCTCCTTAGTTCAATATCTCGGCACACACCGCAATGCTGCGTACAATATTTTTCTAATATTATGGGGTATCCTTTCCGAATAATAAATTAATAGATTAAGTTATGTTATTGAAACCATGCTATGTGGAACTGTGTATAAGTACAGATGATTTTTTTAGCTCGGAAACTTGGAAAGATAGAAGAATATTTTGAAGAACAAAATGTTTTGTATCGAAAGAGAAATTTCAGTAATAAAGAATCAAACCTCTAGAACTGTAGGTGAAATTCTTGGATCGTCGCAAGATGGACAGAAGCGAAAGCATTTGCCAAGAATGTTTTCTCTGATCAAGAACGAAAGTTAGAGGTTCGAAGGCGATCAGATACCGCCCTAGTTCTAACCATAGTTCGACATATAGGCTTGATAGAAGCTAGCGACAAGGATCGCAAAATAATTGTAAATATTTCTCTTCCCCAAACACAAATAACGTATTGATAAAATATTCTCTTGCCGTCGGCCGTATCAAATGGTCAAAACACGCTGACATTTCAGGAAATATCTGATAGTCGGAGAGGATTGTAGTAATTCGGTTCGCCGCGAAAGATGTAGATCACACATTACATCAACGTAATACAAAATAATACAGAATAATGATCAAAATGTAAATAACCTGACCCGAACATAAATTAATTTACCTTAACATAACAATCTAAAGTAAACTAAAGATAGATAACAACGTGACGTATTCTACAAGAATCTGAAACAAAGTGACTTAACCTGATGTGTTCGAATTACACCTATTTTACCTAATGTAACGTAACGTAAACTAACCTAACCTCACTTGACCTCACCTGACCTAACATGACTTACCCTTACCTTGCTTGAACTCACCTAACCTAACCCGATTCAACATAGCCTATCGTATGTTATATTTTCATTATTTAAACTTTATGCGATCTGCATATCTTCTTTAACTAATCTACATCTTTCGGTTCTTCAAATATTCCTTATCTAGTGATTATATCTTCATTTTGTTATTATTGTATTCTTATGTTCTGTTGAGTGTTTGGAAGTTTGAGTGGCTTCCTGTGGTCCAGTTTCATTAAGCTCGAAGTAATTCGCCATGTTATACATAGGCTTATTCTAAATTACATGTTCCATGCTCAAATTCTATGTCTAACAATTATTTCCTTGCAGTAGAAAATTCGTAACTAACTTAATGTTGATCTGAGGCTCTTACATGATATTAGCACACGACTAAAACCAGATTGAAATTTACATTTTGTTTATGTTCTACATTTCTAAACTGTTATTCTATTCAAAGACGATAATAATTTACATTCATAATTAACAATTTCATAATTTGTTATCGAATTACCTCACTCATGAAAATAACATTAAGATAAAAGTGGCCAACAGAATAGAAGAAAAACATGAGAATTGAGTTGTGCGTAGTTCTATGAATTTACATGGGCCACTACTATATACATACATTTAATATCTCGATATTAAAGCAAACCAGATCATAGAAAATGTTCTTTTAGTCAAATAAAGACAGTGCACTTTGTGGAATACGAGGCGCGTCCACAAAATAAGTTTCCCACTCGTCTCACAGCTAGCAAACCTTATATTGCGCGAAGCGGCTGTGCGTACGTGATAGAGCAATGACGTAGCATGGCGCATGCACTAACGGTACTTCCCGCGTTCTCACAGTAGCATCGTTGGAGCTGTTGAAGATGGAGGTTCTTATTCCAGCTCCCGCCGACTGTGAAGTGCGGTCAGTGATAACGCTAGGCCGCACCCGGCTCGACGGACAGCAAGTCTCCTGCCGGAGTTCAGCTGGGAGGTGTTTAATCATCCACCCTCCAGCCCGGACCTCGCTCCCAGTGATTTCCATCTTTTCCTACACCTCAAGAAATTCCTGTCCGGTCAGCGTCAGCGTTTTGAGAATGACAGAGAGGCGGAGATGGGTGTTACACAGTGGTTCCAATCCCAGGCGGGCGACTTCTACGACACAGGTATTCAAAAGTTGGTCCCACGGTATGACCAATGTCTCAATTCCGGTGGCGAATATGTTGAAAAATAGCTGGACACTTGCTGTATCTGTTGCAATAAATATTTCCATGAAATTGTGTTTTGTTTCTGTAAACGGCCCCAGGGAAACTTACTTTAAGGACGAGCCTCGTACATTTTAATTGTTTCATTTTCTCTTCACTATCGTTTGCTTGTCGCTTCAATATCCAATCTTCATCTATGTCTTTTTCTCATCCTCATCTCAGTATTATCACTTTCTTATTTCATTTTTGATCTTTAATCATATCTGTTTATTCTCATACGTATTAATATCGTCTTATTTCTTTATTCTGCAACATATGCTTATCTTTACCCTTGTCGTGAAATTATTCTTGTCATGCTCATTCTTATTCTCAACTTTTTTAATGTCTTTGTCCTTTGCCCTTATTTATATCTTTTGCTTGTCATTGTTTCATCTTATCCTTAAAATTAAATTTGTTCTTAGCCTTAACTATATTTAACTGCACCTAATTCAACCTACCGTATATTATCATCATCTACTCTTTATCTGTTATTTATCTCTTAATTATCTTATGTTTATCTCATCCTCATATGAGACTTATTCTCAGAATTATATATTCATTGTCTTGTCATTATCTATTAATTAGCTATATACGCTCGCAGTCTTCGTGGAGAGCAGACGTGTTCTCTCCGTTACGTGCTGTGGTGTAGTGTAGTGTAGTGTAGTGTTTGGCAGTGCTGATTCTAGTGTCTGTGTTTTGAATCTAGTCCTCCTTTAGCAACAGCTTTAATTTGCTGGCATGGATGCTAGTAAGAATATTTGTGACAAATGCAAAAAGGCATTCAGTGGGAATGAGAAGTTTTTGAGTTGCACTGGGCCTTGCTCTGCAAGTTTTCATATTTCGTGCCTGAAATTGAGCGAAGCAGAGTATCCTTTTTTCAATGCAAATGACGAGTCCAATTACATGTGTCAACCTTGTTACAAGAATGAGCGGTGTCAGAGGTCTGAAAACACTCCTGTTCGTTCTATCAGATCTGCATCGGCATCTGAAATTGATGGAGAAATGACGTCCCCTGCTGAGGAAACAGCTTCTCAGCGAAACGCTATCGAATCTGTCAGTCCGCAGCTCGAGGGTGTTCGACTAAATGGTGTTCACACCATCAGCATCATCGAGAACCTTACTGAAATGGTTCTCAAGCTGTCGGAGGAAGTCGGCTTATTACGCAAAGAAATTGAATCCATGAAAATCAAGGTGGAAAACATTTATACCGCGGGACGATCTAGTGATTCATCTGTGCCACCGCGGGATGTGACGTCATTGGATGGTCCCAAGGTCAACGTACCTAAATTCTACAAGGAAGCGCTGACGTCTGCTCGTGGTTGCAGGCCTACTTCTGCTCCTGTTGTCATTGTGCCCCCCAAGACTACCACAAATGAAGTTTATTCTGAGCTGACCGTGGTACCTGGACTTTCCGTTACTTCAACTCGGGTGCCTAAGTCTTATGATGTCACTGTTACTAGGAAGAAGAAGGTTGAAAAACCTGGTTCGGCTACACTTCCAAGGAAGTAGGAAGAGAGAAGAGTGAGAATCAAGTCACTCTTCGTCTCGCGTTTCTCTCCGGACGTCACTACTGCAGAAATAGAAAAATCCTTGAAAAAGCAACTAAAGTTTACCTCGCTTACCTGCACCAGGTAAAAGACAAAATTTAGTTGTTATGCGTCAGTTGTAGAGGATGACTTTCATCTTGTCTATAATACCGGTGTTTGGCCTAGTGGATGTTTAATAGCCCCGTATTTCAGACGACTTAATCCAGACGAAATACACCCCATTCAAACCTCCCACATTTTAATCAATCATTACGAACAAATTATGATAAATTAAGGATTGTAATTGGCACTGGAAGGAAGAAAAACTCAAAGAATTTTATTTGCAACCACATAATGTAATGTAATGTAATTTTTCTCTAATTAATAAGCAAAATGGCGGCTCCACAGCAGCGTGCACAAACAGTAGTGTGGTATGCGGAATCAAAATCAATAATTTCAGTGCAAAGAAATTACCGACGAGTGTACGGAGGATATGCACCTGATGGGAAAACAATTAAGGTATGGTTCGAAAATTTTCTGGCGACTGGAAGTGTTCTAAAACAATCTGGGGGAGATCATCGAAGTGTTTCTGAGGAGAAAGTTGAAGAATTTCGAGCGGGGTTTGAGAGAAGTCAGAGCATTTGCTATCGAAATGCTGATCGTATCGACACGAACCGCCACTTTCTTGGAAACATCTTGTTTTCAGACGAGGCCACATTTCATCTGTCTGGGATTGTCAATCGGCATAACGTACGGATCTGGGGAACGCAAAATCCGCACGTCTACAGAGAACATGTTCGAGACAGCCCAAAATTAAACGTTTGGTGCTGCCTAATGAAGGACAGGATTATCGGTCCGTTTTTCTTCGGAGGAGCTACAGTATCTGGCCCCGTATACCTTGACATGTTGGAACAGTTCCTCTATCCCCAGGTAGCCGATCTGCAGCCTAACATAATCTTCCTACAAGACGGAGCTCCGCCACATTGGAGTCTGGATGTTTGGAGGTTCCTCAATACCACCTTCCAAGATGGCTGGATTGGACGCGGTGGACCAATTTGGTGGCCACCACGTTCACCGGATCTCACTGCGCTGGATTTCTCCCTCTGGGATTATGTGAAGGATCGTGTGTTCGTTACTCCAGTGAATGACCTACCAGATTTACGAGCCCACATCCGTGATACGATTGCTACTGTAGCAATGGGAATGTTGCAGAGAACGTGGCAGGAATTGTTGGTGCTACCAATGGTGCACATGTAGAGGTTTATTAGTGTGTGCCAAATAAAATTTTTGTGTTCTTGCATTTTCTGTGGTTTCCTTTTCACAATGGGAATGTTGCAGAGAACGTGGCAGGAATTGTTGGTGCTACCAATGGTGCACATGTAGAGGTTTATTAGTGTGTGCCAAATAAAATTTTTGTGTTCTTGCATTTTCTGTGGTTTCCTTTTCATACCATTCATACTTTCTGCTCTGCGATCTGATAAAATACGGGAGGTTTGAATGGGACATCTTGTATATTCCGCCACGACCGTTTCATGTCATTCGTGTTCTCCTGGTGCAGGGATTTCAGCTTCATCTTTAGGGGTCTCAACTTCAGGCCCGGTAAGTGGAAGTACCAATTCTGAGTAACCTCAGAAGGATGAGGCTACTGAACTCAGTTAATGGCTCATACCGGTGATGTCAACAGAGGTGGTGTTTCCATGTCTACTAACAAACAGCCTTTAAATTTTTTCGACATTTATTATCAAAATGTCAGAGGTCTCAGGACTAAGCAATTGAACTATATACTAACGTCTGGTCCTCTGACAGAGTATGTACTAATAAGACGCGTGGGGGAGGAGTGTTAATAGCGTTATCACCCAGAGTAAGTTCTTGAAAACGCGGGCGTGAATTAGGATCTTTCGAAGAATGTGTATACGACAATGAAAGTCCGACGCTGAGCGTCGCTGCAACTGTCGCGTCATCGCCAATATAGTGTTCCGTATAAAGTTCAGGCCATCTTCGGGATATATTGTGGGTATATATGAACGCATATTCGCTCTCAAACGGGCAGATATTTCCACCAAACATGGCATACTGGTGACTCGAAATCAAGATGGGAATTCAGAAGGATTAAAATTCCTATAGTATCTTCATTTCGAGTCATGGTGTGAATGGGTTTTGTAGTTCTGAATCTGAGCAAAATATATGATCAGCGCCAACAGCACAGTTGTTTGTTTGAACGAGAAATCTATCCTCGGTTTCTGTAGCTGTGTTCAAAGAACGGCGATGAGATTACAGGAGTAACAATTACAAACCGAAAAACTATTTTGTGCTCGAGTCCCGGCGGAGATTTATTTTAGGAATACTTTTTTCCTGTGATATCTAACGACGTATATCGAGAGGTCAGCCTATGAAACGATCTTTAGCTTTAAGGATTAACATGGTATGTAATCATTTGTCGAGTTTCGTCGTAGTAACAGTGCGGGCCCTCTGCTAGCGCACGGGTATAGGCCAACAGTTCTGTTCTTTGATGGAAGGATTTCATGGTGGACCAACAAGTATGCAACTGTGATAAAAATATTTAACTTATAATTAAATATTTCATTTATTTTCCAGTGTTATAAATTTAATTTTGTATTTTAATATATAAATATTGTCTTATTAAAAAACCTATTTTATTGGAGGGTTAATTCTTTTAAAATTTGAAGCTTTCATAGTGGTTAGTGTAAAGATGGCTGCTTTCTGGGTTGTTTCGCCTAAAAGTCTGGTAGACGTTTAGCCCCAATAATGGCGGCAGCACCTTTGAAACGTCGGTAACCTTCAACCACGCCGTAGGTGCAATAACCCACAGCCATTTTCAGTTTAATTATCACGATAATGTTAATTATAGAGCAAACTGTGTGGTTCTAAACGTCTTTCGTAATGTTATGTAACCCTATTAAACACTTTGGAGTTTTAAATATCTACCTTCATGATAAGACTAATTCCAGGGTTGATTGATTTGTAGCTACAGTACATTATGAGTGGAAACCGTGTGTTTCTGTCTGCAGGCAAGTGGTTTGACACAACTGTTTGCAGTTTTGTTATGTACTCGTGATTCTCCTACTTATGAGTGCTTATGCCTAATGCCGTCATAAGTTTTTACGTCATGCTCTTGTAATTTCAGGTCTGATTTTAAACGAATGTCTGAATGTGTTAAGACCGTGAGACATTTTTTAAATTTATATAACATACTGTGAGTTTGAATGCCCACATTGTTCGTTCCAACAGGCTTTTCCCACCATCTGACCACTTATACGTATTATTTCTTATACGTAGTATTTATAACCCGATCTGAGGACAGGCACTTCACGAAACCCGAATTATCTAATGTCAGTTTTGCATAACATTTTAACTTTACGTTCCTATGTATTCTAACGGTGTAGCACTTTAATATGAGCGCATGTTTCGTTTAGATCTCTGTGTACGTTGCTCATTCAACGCGTGTAAGTAATTTGTAAATTATAGGACTGTCACACCGACGCGCACAGAGACACACGTAATTCCTACTCAAGTTCGATGACACACAGTTATGAGAATTTGTGTGTCGTCGGATAAAACGACACGTATTACGAAACTGGTTTTTGCAAGGAAGTAAAATTTATCTGTCCACATGAATTACAAAGATTAAATTTCTAGAAATCGAAGAACGACATCGATGTGAGACCATAGTTGTCAATTTGATATGGTAACCATTAAAATCAAAAAAAAGTGTACTTACGTTTGGTCACTCTGAGATATCGAGATGACTTCTTAGTGTTTTTTTATCTGGTCGTAGTATGCTATCTCGTCTGAGGTTTCTTGCCTGAGGAGTGTTACAAAGAAACTTCGAGTGTTTGACAGAGAATGTTTATTACTCATGGCACCCTATCATAACCACTCTCATCAGCTATTGACTCGTATTTAATACGCATATTACACAGGCAGTGTTTGACTTAGCGCGTTTGATTTTGAATCTGACTGGATCTATTTGTGGGTGAATTTGTAGACCTGAGTTGTGATAAAAATATGTGAAAAATGGTTTGAAGTCCACAGAATATTTGCATTTACAGAAGACACTAATAACACGAATCTGTGTTCCTATTGGTTTCAGATATCGCGCACATTATTGTTTAGCTTAGTTTTACTTGCTGTGATGTCGAATTCGAATTCTAACTTGACCTTATAAGAGTGAATTTTGCCTTCATCAACCTAAAACGTCGATGTATAAACTTGTGTCTTTTAGAGTTGTTGCTGACTTATTTATTGTAATATAAATGTGATAATGTTCAATATATTTCTTTCCAACAAACGTAGTGCTCGAGTAATTTGCACTTTTGTTTCATAGATGTGAGTTCCCTGTTCAAACCTTGGCTTAGATATCATGTTAAAACCTTTTTATAAGTTTCCCCAGTCCGTCCAGGCCAATGCAATTTTCAGTTTTGGAAAGCCTACTTTAAAATAGGGCACAGGTATTAATTCAATATCCTTTTCAATTAATTACTTACTTGCTTTAGCCTGTTATTCGTAAGTCAGTAGTCTGAGGTGATGACAGTGTCGTTACATAAAACCTGCCTCTAATTTATTGAACTTTAAGGAACATCATGAGATTATTTGCTACCTGAAACATTGTGAACGTAATTTTCTTAGGTAATACTAAATTAGTATATTACCAAAGAGACAACAGTGCAGATAATGAAGGTAACTACATAATTCTAAATACACATTTAGGCCTAGATTCCGGAAAGTCCGAATATTTCATTTTGTAATTGAACTAAATTTTAGAATTTCTATTTATAGGCCAACATCTGTTCCGAAGAGATAGAAACCATCGCCCTTTTTGTCCTTGAATTCTCACTTATTGCTAAGAAACACTGACCTCATAACTTTTTCATTCCATAACGTACGTATTGGCGTGTATACAGAGAAAGGAAATATAGGTAAAGAAGTTAATTGATTATATATTATTATATTTAATTTTTAACGTGTTTTTAGAATACTGAATGTTGTATCTCTAATAGCATGTACTTACCCATTTTACTTTGCCGTATTCTGATATGAACACCAGTTAGAATCGACTTATGTTTCATTGCAAATGAATATGAGTAATTGTACTTAAGCACAACGTAAGAGTAGTTGCTGTCTAGGAGACCCTTCCCAATAACTCCAGCAGCTGGAGGACCTGTCATACTAAAAGGCAAGAGATTCTGTTGTGCATCTCTGCGTACACAGCATCACAGTGGCCGTGACTAATCTTTGCGCTTCACGTCCTTTAAAATTAAAGGAAAGCGGTACAGAGGAGATGGGAGGGGTATCATATCAGTAAGTAAAAATTGTACATATTATAGACTGGATAAACTGGATAGTGAGGCTAGCCAATAACAAGATTGGGAAGTATATTTCTTGCCATAATACATGTAATATTGTCATGCGTTCCTTACAACTTGCATTTAAAGTTATTAAATCAGCCTTGTTCGATAGTTCCCATTTTGGCTACCAGATCGCAGATTCTTTGTATATACCTCACGAATTTTATCCTCCGTAATGTTATTATCACTGCTCTTAGGATATTCAAAACAGTATATTGAGGCTGTGCGGAACAACACGGCCACCACATCAAATTTCATCCAGATCTGTAGAGTGGTTCTCGAGTTGAATCGAATAGACAGAAGACGGACAGGCATGACCAGACCGTAATGTATTCTCGCCATGCACTTCATGCAAAGCGCGTAATAAAGATACCAAACGATGCAGGCAGCGGATATATAATGCTTATTTCAAAGGCGTTTCTTGAAGAGCTCTAGGCTGTTATATATATATATATATATATTGGTTATGTAAAATCACGCTTTTGTGTAATTATGGACATACGCAGGCCATTTCTCAGGTAAATCCACGTACTGGCGATGTCTTTGAAGTGGAATCATACAGCGCAAATAAATGGTACAAAATATCTGCGAAGTATTTTCGTGACTTGTGTAATTTACAAATTGTCTGATCTCAAACTGATATAAAATTATCGCTTTTAGTAGCAAATACAGGATTCTATAGTCAGATTTCATCCATAGATAAAAGAATATTCTGTATTTTAAAGCTACGGTACAAGAGTCGGATGTGTTCCACACATAAACTAACACGGAGGTTTGAATTAAGTCTGAATATTTTGAATGATGGACATTGGAAATATTCATAGCTTATTCCAAGAATACTTTATCACACCATGCTTTATTTCACATTGTAGATATATATGACATTTTAGAGTTTGCTTTACTCCTGTACTGCATAGGTAATTTTATTATCATTATATTGATATATTTTTGTTACTTTTGCCTTGATATAAATTATTTTAATACTCATACTGTGGTCATTTGCTACCACGGTGAAATAGCGCAGATAGATCTTAATACCAGTCAAAATGTTTAAGGTGTAAACCGTCTTATATGAATTAATTACGCAATTTGGGAGTTTTATAAATTAAATACATACTGTTTTAAATAATTAATTTAAATTAGTTAACTGCCGATTATTAATAATGTAGACGAAGAGTTGTCGGTGAATTATTACGATAAATTACTGAACTACGATTTGCGAATTTAACAATTGTGACTTTACTAATATTAAAGTAAATTAATATAAAATAATTTTAAAGTAAAAATTACTTGATTATATATCTTTATACGCTAATAAGGTTGAATTATACACCATTTATTTCTCCGACGTAACATTTAATTACCCGAAAATTAATCCACGTCAAAACATTAACAATGTCCATAATATATAATATTATATTTGGGTTTAATATATACTATGCTACCAGTTTATTTTAATCGTAGCTCCTTTTAATTGTCATATATTTTTACGAATGTAAAGCTGTTATACGCTAGGACGCGTGATAACGTGGGCAGAGCAGAATGATTCAATTTATTCACAAAGTTCACTGTTTTCTTCTGCACCACTTAAGTTCATCCACAGAAAGAGGCAATTCTGTTTGTCTAAAACTCTCATTGCTCAGACCCGGAAACCTTCACATTTAATTCAAACTATAGGCCTACTGTGGCTACTTATACCGGGCATATAAAGTGTATTGTCGTTTACGAAGTTTTTAATTTTCCTTCCATTTATATATTAATTATAAATTGTCTTATACTACTCATTCTGAAGGAGACGTATATAAAACTTTTTTTCCATCAACAACTTTCATTTCAAATTTTTGTTTCTTGCACAAAAAGTTTTTCCTTATAATGGGAGTGAAGAGGTTTGGGTTCATTTCTTCAATGTTCGGCGATTCTGTGAAGATACTTACGATCATTCCCACAAGAAACATTATCATGAAGCCCATCAGTGTGTAGTACATGAAACTTATCCGAAACAAAACAAATGCCTCCTCTGGCGGAATGTCAGTTCTGAAATACAGAAATGCGTTATCATAGAATTGAGTACTGAAGTAAATTAGAGCAGTAAATGCGCTGGCATGGTACAGTAGGGACCAGATTGCTTGTTAGCCGAGCTCCCTAGTACTTTGGATAGTTGCACTAGGCACGGCCTGGTCGGTGCACGGAACGGCCTGGTAGAACGGACAAAAAAAGCGTGGAGGTGCGCGCGCAGTGCTTATCACCTAGCTCTTCACCCCCGCGTCAAGAACTCGTAAGTAATCTGGTCCCTACTATACTTTGTACGGTCTGAGCAGTAGTTTTATATCAATAAATGTTTTATTTTAAGTTAAGGTACTGTTTCTAACGCTTTAAAAATGTTTATAACCGTTGCATTTAAAACACAACAATATCTTCTTCATATGAACCCCGTCAGGCACAGAACAACAAAACCAATGACAGTATAGAATTCTTGCAGAGGGTTCTTGGTGTCGCAAATGTTGCACTGCTTGAAATTGACATGGCTTTAATTTCAGCCATTTTGTCACTCTGTGAGCACTTGTTACAAACACTGTTCCGTAGTAGATGTATTTTCCCCTAGTTGTTGCGTCCTTGTCAGGGAACCTAGTGTTAAATGCTCCCAGAACAGTTGTATAAGATTTCGGTGCGAAGTAATATTGGAAAATGAACATAAGTTCTGCTCGAGGATACACCATGTTTGCATCACCACTAGTTCTGAAAGAGCAGCGATCTATGTGAACTTGACTCGATCGCCAAGGGAGTCGTTGGATGACTAACACGAGGGTGGACCAGCTTCTGATTTAATTTTTATAACGTAGTACGTGATTAATATTTCGTTGCGTTTTAAATGCTATATTCTGTAATTAATTTCCTTTGCACATTGTATTCGGATACTCACACGATGGGTTCTGGTAACGTTAGGTTGAAACCACATCCCTCTGTTGAGGTGGGTAACTTGGGATATGACAAGGTGCCGTCAGCGAAAGCCTTTTGTGCTCCAAATACGATCCATCCCATAAAAAGCAAAGAAACTATGCTTCCAATTAGAGCACCCTGAAATAAATATCGAAGTTTACAACTGAAAGTAGGGTTAAAGTTTTCAATCAGTCCTAAAGAAGACACTGTGGACTTACTTTAGAGTTTCCTCGTGGGTAGAACATTCCGAAAGTGAAGAGTCCAAACGATGCTCCGGATGCAACACCGTTCGTACTCATTGCCAGCTGAAAAGTGGATTGACTTGTTAGTAGATAGATGAATGTTGAAATTTTTACATCCTATTTACGTAGCTTTCAAATGGAATTTAGGCCATATTTTAATATGGTTACTTCTGAATTTTTTCAAAATATAGAAATACTTGAGATTTGTAAGCATACCTTGCATATCTTAAAATTTTGCATACCGTGTAGTGTATTAGAATATAAAATAAGCAACAAACAACTATTAACACTATAAAAAAGACACTATTGCCTTACGCGTTTCTACCTCAAGAGGTCGTCATCAGTGGTATCAGGGAAATTAATTTATTTAATCAAATGGTTTAAACTGGATTTAGAAAATAAATAATGAATAGGGTATTTAACTAAAGTATTTTTAGCGACACTGTACTAGTGATTAAATAAATTAATTTCCCTGATACCACTGATGACGACCTCTTGAGGTAGAAACGCGTAAGGCAATAGTGTCTTTTTTATAGTGTTAATAGTTGTTTGTTGCTTATTTTATATTCTTGCATATCTTGTTATCAGGAATGTAAATGATCCAAACGTAAGTTAGGTCTAATTCCATATGACTATACAAAACACTCAAGAACTCAAAAATTATTTTCTGAGAACGTGTAATATTAAGTATAATTTGCAACAATAAATATTATTTGATGCTGATATTAATTAGAATTTTGAGAGAATTTAGTATGAAATCGAGTATTCGTGTCCCATCTCGCAAGCAGAATTCCATATATTTTTTATGTAAGTTTGTATTAAAGCAGCAGTAGTTTTTAACGCATCCGTGATTTAAAAATGGCTATTATTTACAAATAGTCACTCATTTACGTAGGTTCACCTACATGATTTTGTTACTACAGGGTAGGTGGGAAGTAAGTAGGCACTAAATAATTGGTATACATTGAAAATATGGAGGTTATAACCATTTATCGATGCCTACTTACTTCCCACCTACCTGTATATAACCAACTAAATGCCTGTCTGTCTGAATACATAAATCTCATCACCTGACTGACTATGCTTTGACAGACATGGAGCAAGACAGGTGGATATAATAATAAAGAGAACACTTTTACAGTTCACAGTATGTTAATATCGTAGAATTACTTTTATGGGACTAACATGATAGTTAAATATTTTAAGTAGTGTTTAAATGCATTAAAATAATTGAAATTGATGTTTACACTTAAAATCATTTACATGAAGTAAGCCCTTATAGTCTGATGGAACGCCAATCGACTGGAAGTCTAAGAGAACAGATTCAGTAATTTCTAATTGAATGTGTTATTCAACTGATTACAGTCGGAGTGTTCTAAACCTTATGAACTTACATTAGAATTCATTGCAAAGAAAGCTGATGCAGCGACAAGTTACTCGGAGATACGTGGTATTAATTAAACTGCTTACGATGTTTAAAACAACCAAATTATTATAAGTGTGTGGACGGAAAATAATACGTAAAGATATAATAAGTAAGCCAATGAGAAGGAAGTCCAACATATAGAATAAATCTTAGATCTGTATTAAGTAACACACCTTTCTAATGCAGTAGACCTTACAGCTCCTTAAAGTTGGGGGTAATTTCTTGACTGGGTGAGTGACTATTAACTTCTCAAGAAGGACTCTGCCGCATGGAACTAATTATTAATAGTGTAATGAAGTTTATTTATCAACTTCTGATGGTAAATTTTAGGTGCATGGTATGCGGAATTATATCATGCTAATCTAGAGCATGCTGTTGAAATTTGACCACTTTTATGGACCTACCTGCACAATACCACCAACTTTGTCGACGAAGAAGACCATAATAACACAGACTGCTCCTATTATTATAACCAGTAATTTTATTATGTTGTTGGAGGTTTTATCTGATAATTTAATTTTTAAACACGGACGAACGAAGTCTTCAAATAATGTTGCGCCCAAAGAATTTAGAGCACTGGACATGGTGCTGAAAGTATAGAAACATGTTTAATTAAGATTTTTAGCTTAAAGGTAGTAGATATATTGATTGTGAGCACTGAAGATGTGGGTGATACGTTTCTCTGAAATTATAGAGACCAACTGCAAGGCCACAACTGGTAATTTGTGAATTGCATTTGAATTAACCTGTATGTTTCATATAATACAGTATTTATAAATTCTATGTTGCTGAGAAAACTCACTACGAAAACAGTTGATCTCGAAATTCTACTGACGTCGTCGTAAATGATTATTTTTTTTAGTTTTACTAGAATTAGCACTGAAGTTGTAAAATTTAAACTCGACATTCCCATTCTTATTTCTTTACAATGAACGAATCAAATAGGGGAAATAACCTTGACATATATTTCTTTACAATAAGGCATATTTTGTGTTAGCTGACACACACAAAATCTTGTTTATAAATTATAAACAGTCCAGATACGCATTTATCGTCGTGGGTTTAGATATGTAATTCAGCTTGAGTGTCCTTAAAGATACGACTATGCTGTTCTGTCCGAAAGCGATTAATCTTTGCTTTGAATGACTGTGTATAGGTATCATTATTGTATTTTACTAATTTCTTTCTTTTATACATTTATTTTATATATCTGTCCTGATGCATTATAGTATGACTACATTGCCAGCAGGACAAAATTGAGAGTTATCCCATCATAGTACTTGGCTAGTCCTCTTAATCATCTTAGGTACAAACATTGGCGTCGTAGTTACCTAAGAGAAGCGCTGAATATCCCCGCCATAAAGAGACCAGGCAAGCCTGGAATTGCTGAAGCAATATCCATAACGTAGTATGCGAGCAGCTGGTCAGACCGGGAAATGGCCTGTGAACAGATCAGGTAGTTAGATATCAATAATTCCGTGGGATAATTACATTCTACAGCTTCCGGTTTCTTAAGGCTAATTTTTATTTTACAACATTCTTAGGGAGTCTTATTTTTCTTAAATTATGGAATAATTTTAAACAATCCATTAGGTTTTAAAACATATTCCTGTAAAATTAATTATATATGTGATTAATTAATAAGATAATAAATTATTTAATGTTTAACTGTGTTGCTATATACAACGCAGCAAGTAATTTCGAGGCATTTTAAATCGAGTATTCGACTCATCTAATGTAAAGGCCTTTCTCCAAAGACAGGAGTTTATATTTCACATTTTGTTAATTAATTTTTCTTCAAAATCCAATTTTAATACTGTCCTCCAGTCTATATTTAGGTGTCCCAAGTGGACATTTTATGTTTAAAAATCCTGTAATTATTTTATGATATTCGTTACCAGCTACGTGTTTAATCCACTGTAAACCTCCTTTACTTTATTCAAGTAACTATAAGAAACCAATTTTCTCAGTTTATTCAGTTCTCACTGCTTTCAAATATTTTTCCTTTGCATTTGTCTTTAAAGTAATCGTCTACATACTTCCATGTTTTAAATCAAACAGTTGAAACACCGAACACGTTAATCTTTGCTTTTAAAAACTCAGACTAGATGTGAACTTATATTGAATTAAAGAATATATATACAATTCTTTTAAACTACTTTTGAAATTATTTGTTTATTGGTTTTATGTGGTATTGTTTTGCGTTAATTAGTCACTGAATTTCGTTTTGTTAAATCTTCATGTATTGAGTTTCATACAAATTTTAAATTTAAATGCAGACTTCATTATTAGCTCTGACCCATTAGTTTTATCAAATTCCTGTGTGAAATTATATTCCTTTACAATTTTTATGACAATAGTTTTTACTGGTCATCAGTTATAACTCAGATAAGCATATACGTGTAATCGGCACGTATTTTGTCTACGAATTCTCCTTTCTGATGGTCAAAATATTACACCTACATGTGTGACAGTATTGCCATGTTTACGCCTTTTTAACAAAAATGTAGATGTCCGAACAAGAGAAACGTAAACTTAAAATTACGTAACAGTACTCTCTTGAAGCAATTCATTTAAATAATTACCTTTGTGTCCATAGGATCACAGTCGTAGTATGTAGCATATATAATGAGCCCCATGAAACAAGTCAGGCACTTTATTAGTAGGGTTCCGAAAACTAGAAACATTAGTGACCTGAAACAACAAATTGAGACTGTAAAATGAAACATATAAAACATGTTACCTAATTTCCGTTATATAATTTAGTTTTGTCATCTGTAATAAAATTAATATATTGTAACCACCATTTTAAATTTTAACTTTTAATGTTTTTTGTACCAAACTGTCTTAAAGTAAGGGACGGGCTAAATAAAAGACGATTAAATGTGACTGGGCGATGATTCCATTCTGAATTGAACATCGAACTGTTAAACATTGGAAAGACACAAATTTTGAATTATTTCAATGACAGTAACAAATTTGATCAGCAAATACAATTTTTGGGTGAATTAAGTATCTAAGAGAAATATAATTGTTATAAAAACTGCACAATGACATGCTTCATACATTTTACTCATCGCAACGACTAAAATAATCAAGTCGGAGAGGATTAGATGGGCGGAGTTTGTGGTAGGCCCACAAACGAGAGAAAAGAGGAAGAAGTAAAGAATTGAGGTCTTTTAAGTCTGAAGAAAGGAAACAAATTGGGAAATCTAACCGTTGATAGAAAAATAATATTAAATTGATGTTAAAGGCAGTGGAATCTGAGGGTGTCGATAGGTCTTATGTGGCTCAAGATAGGGACCACTTGTTACTTCTTGTGCTCACAGTAATAACATTTCTGGTTCTATGAAAATGAAATATCCCATGATTATAACCCTTTTAACAAGGACTCTGCCAACATATTTGGTTACTTAATAATAAATATGCTTTAGATGTACCAAGAAACTTTTATCAAGTTTAATATCAAATAGTGTCGACAACTGCGTTTATGCCTCATTAATACTAGTACCGACGTTTTAAATACGTCGCATTTGGTAACGTTATCCTTATTAGAATAAAACAGAACAAAAATTAGAAATAGCTCAATGATGTACAGTTTAAGTCAACACTAACAAATTTAAATACAATCGATTCGGTAATTTAGCGTTGTTACTAGTGAAATGCATTTTAACTGATAAATCGATTTAGAGTTGTTGTTATGAAACATATCGTCATTGCGAACGGCGTACGCAAGTACGGCTAATTGTTGGCTATTTAAAAAAATATAAAGTAACAATAATTTTAACAATATATTTCATCTCCATTCAGTAATTTGCTAGATACCATTAATTTAGGGAATGGGTAATACTAATGAGGTATATTCCTTATAGACATAGGCTAAACTTTAATTTACTGAAGAAAAATAAATAAATAATATGTAAGATTTGAGATGTTCACAGCGGTGAGTATGACGATTTCTGTCTTCTGGGTTGTTGCGCTGTTTAGTCTGATCGATGTTTACCACCGTTTCAGAGGTCATACTGCCTCCGTCATCAGGGCGAAGAATATTCATTGCCCTGATGACGGAGGCAGTATGACCTCTGAAACGGTGGTAAACATCGATCAGACTAAACAGCGCAACAACCCAGAAGACAGAAATCGTCATACTCACCGCTGTGAACATCTCAAATCTTACATATTATTTATTTATTTTTCTTCAGTAAATTAAAGTTTAGCCTATGTCTATAAGGAATATACCTCATTAGTATTACCCATTCCCTAAATTAATGGTATCTAGCAAATTACTGAATGGAGATGAAATATATTGTTAAAATTATTGTTACTTTATATTTTTTTAAATAGCCAACAATTAGCCGTACTTGCGTACGCCGTTCGCAATGACGATATGTTTCATAACAACAACTCTAAATCGATTTATCAGTTAAAATGCATTTCACTAGTAACAACGCTAAATTACCGAATCGATTGTATTTAAATTTGTTAGTGTTGACTTAAACTGTACATCATTGAGCTATTTCTAATTTTTGTTCTGTTTTATTCTAATAAGGATAACGTTACCAAATGCGACGTATTTAAAACGTCGGTACTAGTATTAATGAGGCATAAACGCAGTTGTCGACACTATTTGATATTAAACTTGATAAAAGTTTCTTGGTACATCTAAAGCATATTTATTATTAAGTAACCAATTTTATCTTAGTACTTACTTCCGTACTTTCGCATATGAAGGGAGCGACAGAAATTTTTGGACCATTCCTTGGTTTGCTGCAAGAATTCCCAGCCAGCTGCTTGTTCCGCCTATAAAAACGTTCCAAAACGTCATTCTTTCAAAGGGAGAAAGACTCATCCTGAAACAGTTAATGTTAAAAAATAAGTTCTCGACAGCTGGACATTTTATTATTTATTTGTATGAAATATTAGTGTTTGTATGTTATTGTTATATCTAACAGTATTGATGTGAATTATGTTTAATTTTAAGAAATGTGTATTGCTGGTGTAATATGTATTTCCCAAAAACTCGATATTTCTCACCAATTTCGTAGAAAACAAGCTGTTATTTTATTTTATTATTACGTGGAAATATCTTTAATAGAATAGTCGTTTAATTGACTGTAATATGTTGTTGTTCTCTTGTCAATAATCCCATTGTTGTTTTCAGTTGTACACTATAAAGCAGCGCTAAGTAGAAATGAATAATTTAAGTCGGAAATTTTAGGATGGTGGAGTACTTGGAAGACTTAGAAGCGGATGGGACTACAGTTACAAACTGAACCTGAATTAAGTACGATAATGAGGATATTCATTTATATTAGGATATGACCAGTCGTACGCTCATGATAACACGTTAATGAATCTTCAGAATTCATTGGAGGCGATGAATTTATTGACAACCTGAGTTGTTAACTTTTCACAGTGGTCTCTGTTTCGTGGAACTAGTAAAAAGTAAAGTTTGTCCCACTATACGCCATGTAGGCGTTTGGGGTGAGTGGAGGTATAGCTCCTCTCTTCCTTGACCTCGGCACTAGATGGGGGTGAGTGGTCAGCATCACGCCCCGGCCGGCTTTACCCCCGGGAAAGGACCCCGGTACCCATTGTAGAGGAGGCTGGGTGGGCCCCACAGCCGGTCTGGACGCAGAGGCCAGAGGAAAAGTCCTCTGTCCCCGTCAGGGATAGAACCCCGGTCGTCCAGCCCGGAGCTAGTCACTATACTGACTGAGCTATCCCGGCTCATTCCGTGGAACTAGTAAGAATTTAATTCATCTGGGAAGAATTTATTAATTCAATTACATTTACAAAATCGTTACACAAACGTGATACCATATTGCCTTGCCTTCAACGTAACAATACTCACTCGAAAATTCTTATCCTTCCGCCATCTCTGCTCCTTTCCCAAACTGGAACAAAGCCTCCCACATGGACGAGTCCTAGAGCAATGACAGCTAAACTTGCCACAACCATCACCACCCCCTGTAGGAAGTCGGTCCATATGACGGCTTTTATTCCACCCTGAAATGCCAAAGAGTGTTTGGAAAGGAATCCAACACTGTCCTAACTACCTACAGTGATTTGGATTACATTGAAGATTAGGATCTGCACTGGACGTTTTCTAAACATTTTGGTTTTTGTTAGACTCTGGCGAAAATGATACTTTATAAGAAATACATACTGTAATGTTTCTGTAGTTGTGCGATATTTCCACACATGCATGTGGATGCCGCATTATGGGCTCGTCGATAAGTCGTCGTGTCCGTTCGCCCGTATATCCGTCTGTCTGTCAGAGCGATACAATTTGAGAAACACTGGGAGCATTGCATAAAATTTGGTATTGAGATTATGCCATTCGGCACTAACTCAAAATCGTACTTTCTAATATCCTACTAGGAGTGATTACAAAATTACGAATGAGGAAATTCGTTAGATGGACTTACAATAGCTCATTTAGGTGGTGCGATATGGTACCCAAAGTGAGACCGATCAAAGTATGAATGGTCACCGTGGTTTTCTTCGTAATTGTGTTGATATATGTTAAGAATAGGCTAAAGTGGTTAGTTATATCAAATTGATTTTGTTGGTACAGGTTAGGTTAGATGAGGTTACGACACGTTAGTTTAAATTAGGTTAGGATAAATCAGGTTAGGTTAGTTTAGGTTATATCAGTTTAGGACATGTTAAGTTAGATTATGATAGGTTATGTCATTTAGTTTCTTTTAAGAATGACTGGGCTAGGAATAATATTTAAATATAAATGTTGGGTGTCGGCATTTCGAAATACCATTAACTGCAGACTGAGATTAGGTTTTATGTTCTGATAAATCTTATCTACATACTACATTAACGTTTCGTCGTGAAGTAATTATTTTTAAATATGTTTTATAATTGATTATAAAGAATTTTAAGAAATTGAATAGATTTAATGACAGCGGGAAATTTGTCTCTCTAGCAAATTTGGTTTCATAGGTGCTTGCAAATACATATATGAAGTATAAAATAACCCAATCTGTAATGTGTAGGCCTACAATTTTCAATAAATATTCTAAAAGAATATTGGAGGAGGCGGGGTGGGCCCCCCAGCCGGTCTGGACGCAGAGGCCAGAGGAAAAGTCCTCTGTCCCCGTCAGGGATAGAACCCCGGTCGTCCAGCCCGGAGCTAGTCACTATACTGACTGAGCTATCCCGGCTCATTCCGTGGAACTAGTAAGAATTTAATTCATCTGGGAAGAATTTATTAATTCAATTACATTTACAAAATCGTTACACAAACGTGATACCATATTGCCTTGCCTTCAACGTAACAATACTCACTCGAAAATTCTTATCCTTCCGCCATCTCTGCTCCTTTCCCAAACTGGAACAAAGCCTCCCACATGGACGAGTCCTAGAGCAATGACAGCTAAACTTGCCACAACCATCACCACCCCCTGTAGGAAGTCGGTCCATATGACGGCTTTTATTCCACCCTGAAATGCCAAAGAGTGTTTGGAAAGGAATCCAACACTGTCCTAACTACCTACAGTGATTTGGATTACATTGAAGATTAGGATCTGCACTGGACGTTTTCTAAACATTTTGGTTTTTGTTAGACTCTGGCGAAAATGATACTTTATAAGAAATACATACTGTAATGTTTCTGTAGTTGTGCGATATTTCCACACATGCATGTGGATGCCGCATTATGGGCTCGTCGATAAGTCGTCGTGTCCGTTCGCCCGTATATCCGTCTGTCTGTCAGAGCGATACAATTTGAGAAACACTGGGAGCATTGCATAAAATTTGGTATTGAGATTATGCCATTCGGCACTAACTCAAAATCGTACTTTCTAATATCCTACTAGGAGTGATTACAAAATTACGAATGAGGAAATTCGTTAGATGGACTTACAATAGCTCATTTAGGTGGTGCGATATGGTACCCAAAGTGAGACCGATCAAAGTATGAATGGTCACCGTGGTTTTCTTCGTAATTGTGTTGATATATGTTAAGAATAGGCTAAAGTGGTTAGTTATATCAAATTGATTTTGTTGGTACAGGTTAGGTTAGATGAGGTTACGACACGTTAGTTTAAATTAGGTTAGGATAAATCAGGTTAGGTTAGTTTAGGTTATATCAGTTTAGGACATGTTAAGTTAGATTATGATAGGTTATGTCATTTAGTTTCTTTTAAGAATGACTGGGCTAGGAATAATATTTAAATATAAATGTTGGGTGTCGGCATTTCGAAATACCATTAACTGCAGACTGAGATTAGGTTTTATGTTCTGATAAATCTTATCTACATACTACATTAACGTTTCGTCGTGAAGTAATTATTTTTAAATATGTTTTATAATTGATTATAAAGAATTTTAAGAAATTGAATAGATTTAATGACAGCGGGAAATTTGTCTCTCTAGCAAATTTGGTTTCATAGGTGCTTGCAAATACATATATGAAGTATAAAATAACCCAATCTGTAATGTGTAGGCCTACAATTTTCAATAAATATTCTAAAAGAATATTGCATGCCATTTTTACAGTCTGATATTTGATTCAGAAAATTGTATACTTCCTGTGCTTATAAAATATTTTAATATTTTGACCAAATAATTATACATACCAGCATCGTGTAAAAGATACAAATAATGCAGATGATTGGAGTGATGTAATGTATATTTATCCCAATTACTGAAAAGAACAATTAAACATATCTTAATTGGAATATTGTATCTTCTTTATAAAACTTAGTTTAATGACAGTCATTACTATGTTATATTGTAAGCACTGTGTAATATAACGTAATATCCAGTAACACATTTTGGATTATGCTTTATACAATTTTTGAAATCAGATACTTATTACATGTCTATTCAACACTTGAGACGTGTGTTTGCTCATATGAAAATGTTTCCTGTGCGTACATGCAAAACCTTTTCATGGAATTGCATATTCCAAATGAAAGTTTGAGAGGAGTACGAAGATTATATAGGTTTATTGCTTTCGAAGTCACAGTGCATTACTATCTTACCACGTGGCAGTCATGTTCTATTAAAAATTATATGCTTTCGTTCTGCTGTATGTTCCGAAAGTTACGAAACTCAGCTAAAAGACACCCGTTCTTCCGATGTCAAAAATTATATACTCTATATTAATGAACTGCCTGTCGCATAACCTCGGACTTCTGCCTTCTTCTTGCCATGCTTATGAGGAAATATATTAAAAAAATACGTATGATTGAATTAGTCGCCCTTACTGACAACAGTTTCGTACTGAATTTAATGAATTTATTTTAATTTAGACAAATTCTGTTAGAGAAAGAGAACGCACACAAACTGTCGCGAGTGGGTTTATTTAGAGAATAATGAAGACATACCTTGGCTCAGAGCTAAGGCTGGAACATACATTACTATGGGAATGTAGAAAAACATTCCAACTGTACAAAGTACTGATGCCATAACTCGGACACTTCTGTTAAAACGAAGCTGCAAGTACTGAAACATAAATCGTGACGATTAGATACCCATCTTAAATTGGTCTAAGTGGCTCAGATGTGTCATTTAACTGTCAAAAACGTATATATATAGTAAAATAACGTGTGATGCACGTGTGTCAAAATATTTACACAATTGTCATGGTTTACCTCTGAAATTAAAATAATATGAACTGACCACAAATTATAAAAATAATATATATGATTTGAGGTTTCCGCAGCAGTAAATCTGAAAATGGCTGTTGTGTTGGGTT